CCTGCTGGGGGCAGGTTGTCACTTCCATGGGGACACAGAAAGCTGCTGAAGTGACGGGGGGTGGAAGAATATAATTACTACTCTGCACAACCAACATGGAAGTAGATTTGCCTATCCTTTACTGGAATTGCTGAGAAACTGAATATGAATGAGACAGATGAGGGAAAGTTTCTGGTATTCTCAGCCTGAGTCACATAGACTTGAGGAGGTAAAAATAACAAAAGTTTGTCAAGGTAGATACAAAACCAAATACAAGCCCAAAATGGTTCTCATCCAGGCAGTGATCTCACAGTACATGATCACCCATGCCAGGCAGCAGCTCATGGATGGATGCACCCTCAGGGTGAAAGAAGCTGGGACTGTTTTCCCCTTGGATTTGTATGTCTGGAAGGGGAGGCAGGACAGGAATGGAGCCGAGAGCCTTGAGGTGCCATTTAGAAGCCCTGGTTTACACAGCAGCCCCACAGCCAAGGTTTAGCCACAGCTGCTGATGTCCCTGTGTGCACTTGTAACAGTTTATGCTGAGTGCTCACCATAGGCTGTTGGAAAGAAGCCACAAGTGCAGTTTGGTGAGTAGGTGGTATCTGAGTCATGGCAAAAGTGCTGCACTCAAGTAGTGGAAACAAACATCAAGTTTGCACCCTCCCTGCACCCCAAGTAAATCCACTCCCAGAGAAACCAACAATCCTTTTGCACCTTTTCTCTAGCACAATGGAGCAGTATCTGTTACTGTCACTGTCACTGGGCCACACACCACAATGCAGGTTAGCTTTGACAAGTCCACCCTTAAAGATAAACAGCTCAATTAATTGCCAGCTGATCTGCAGAATCCAAAAAGCTACAGCTCTCTTGCCTCTCAGGTAATCAGAAAAGCTCCTCATGGACTGCTCCTAACAGCCTCTGGAATGCCAAACATAGCTCTAACCAATGACCTTTCTAAACACACTGGAGGAAAAAAAACTTGGTTGAGCACCAAATTCCCTGTAAACAGCTGGATGCCACATGCAAGCCTTCAGCGAAGTTCCTCACTGAATACCTCTGGGTTTGTCTCAAGGTCTCACTGCAGGCCCTCTCACTGAGGGACCGCTAAAGGCAAAGTCTACCAGTCTCATCTGCAAGTACAAAACAGATCCTGTGTCGCTCTATTGGGAATGGCGAGAAGAACGACACAGACTCTCTTGGGAGTCGAACAGGAGAGTTTCTCCCCAATTTATTACCTCCGATCTTTTTTATAGAACAATACGTGAAAGTACAGAAAAGTAAAACTTTATTGGTTAGTGAACTAACACATCACCATCATTGGTCAGTGGGGTACACCACCCCTCAACCTTCTCTTGCAAGAAAACAAAGAACTGACAAACAGCACCTACAAGGCTGTCTTCTATCTCTGAGGATTGTTTTAATTCTTCCTTATGATTTCCCAGGCCACTTTCTCAGGCGAGACTGAGAAAGTTATGCGGCCTGCTATTCCACAGGCACTGTGCTCCCTGCTTCACAGTTAGCATCCATAATCCTGGGAGATTTAGGTCTCCCTAAATATTTCTGTTTATATTTTTGGGATACCTACAGGTGAGGTAAGTGGATGGATGTGTGTTTCATATTGCTGATTTGGGGTGAAGCTATTTAAAGCTTGTCATATAGCAATTCCCCTTTCCCCACTGTTGGAGGTTTTTTCACAAATGGGACGGGACTGCCGGATGACGTGTCACAAGCTTTTATTTCAGGCACCAGTCTCAGCTACAGATGCAGGAGATAGCACAAACCTACATCTGCCACAAGCAGCACAAGATCTCTTTGTTACAGAACATTTTATGACTTTTTCAGCCAATAGCATAGTGCTAAAGCTCACAGAAAATTGTTCTATCCAATCACTAGAAACACATGAACACCTTCTTCAAACAATGTTTGCTTTCTATTAACAATAGACAATACTCTATTATTAAGCTTAAAACTTTCTGCTATCATGGTAAGCATATTTTTCTGCAGTCTTAGGGTCTATCTTGGCCAAGCCTAAAAACTCAACTATTGTTTCATGTCCTTGCATATTGTACTATTGTATCTTTACTTTCAGGCCTTGAAGCTTCAGCTAGCTCTAAGTTCTCTGCTTTTTCTCTTTTCTGAGGCTTATTTTCACAGCTTCCGAAAGTCTTCTTACCTTTACTGTTATGCTTAAATGTTGCCCCTGTAACCAATACTCTCTCCTGCAAAGGACACTTCTCTGTGCTGTAAGGGTGAGAAAACAGGGCGCGATTGTTTACTTGCTTGCAAGGAGTTATTTATATCCATAGAAAACAGTTCCTAAAGGGAGAAAATTAATATAGCAGAAATATAATTACCTGTTAGTACCAACTAGTAGTGTTGGTCTTCTCTTTCCTATCCTAAAGGAACTGAGGTTCCCCTTCCTAGTACTTTGTTCTCTTTCATTCTTTCTGTGATTCTTGAGGGTGTTGAACAACAATTTGAGCTGTTACTTCTTCAAATACTTTTTTCTTTTTCTTCCATAGAGCTACTAAATATAGTGAAGTATTTCCTCTCAAAACACCTGGCATTCTTTCTCTTCAACATTTTTTTTTTTCTGAAAATGGAAATTTATTCCAAATCACCTATTTGCAGACTCTTTCTCGTTCTCTCTTTGAGCAGAAAAAAAATATTTTTCTTATCAGAGGAAAGAGGAGTGTCTGAGAACGTCCCCTTTGGTTTCAGATTCTCATGTAACACCATTCACACAGAAGAAGTGTCATGCTTTCTCAAGAATCATGTTGTTAATCTAAGCTAAATTTTAGTATTTCTTGACTTCTCCTCAGTTCCTCAAGCCTCAGGTATACACAAAAATACAATTATTTTCTCATCAATGCTTTTAGACTATCATCCTTAAATTCATCCCATGTGTTAACCAGATTAAAGAGGCAGTCCTGTTAAAGGCAAATTCATGCTTCTTTATGTCCTGGTCCTCTTAAACATTACTTCGTTTTGGAGAGAAGCTGGTGGGACCAGAAACATGTTTCTCTTGCTGCTGTAGCCAGGGACAAGTTCTGTTTAATAGATTTATTTAGCATGAGCACACTTCACTGTAGCCTATGAACACTGGGAACTAGGAGGTTGACACTGAGAGCAAAATGATCTCAAGCATATTCTCCAGAGTGAAACTTTTCAAGATCATGCTGTAAGAAACTTAATTTCCATAGAAGACAAGCCTAATGGAAGTTCTTAAAGGAAAAGTAGTCATAATTCCTCCCTTTAAGTTTTGCAGCAAATAATTCCATTTCTAGCAAAAACTGTGCATATGGGGCTTTGCGTTTCTCTCTTGCAGTTAAGTGTACTTGAAGTGCTGATATATGAGATGCTTGTGGGAATGCTATCTCTTGGACAACAAAAAAGGGGTGGGTGGGGAAGGAACAAACTTGTAAATTCACCGACAGAAACATACTCCTTGTCAACCAAGTACAAAACAGTAGCTTTGTGGCCTTCTGGGCTTTACCAAACTTTGTTGACTCTGCAGTTTCATTTAGAGGAAAAAACACTTTTAGAAAAATATGAGCTCTATAATGAAAGCAAAACTACATTTTTTTCTTTATGGAAAAGCTAGTGGAACCTATGCTCTGTAGTATTGAGAGGCCTGAGCCGAGGGCTGCTGATGATTTTAGCACAGCCAGCTGTGTCCTGTTCCTTCCTCAAAACTGAGCTTCTGTGCCTCTCTTCACTCTGTGAAAGCCCTCTAGGTAGATAACTACAAATGGCTTCTGCATGTCTCCTGTTGAAAGTACATGGAAACCCTGTCTTTCAGATTCCTTAGATAATCCTTTATTCTATCTGCTAGTTTCTCCAGAAAATTGGAGCAGCCTAGTTTATTGGAAGGTGTCCCTGCCCATGGCAGGGGGTGGAACTCAATGATCTGTAAGGTCCCTTCCAACCCAAACTGTTCCATGACTGTAAGGTAAGAAGCCAAAATGTTCTGGCCTATGATCAAAATGGGGGAAGAAATGCAGTTGCTTCAGCCGGACTTAAAATAAAAATGGACTGAATTGAGGCTAATATGTACAAGTAAATCTATATGCAACTACACCCATTGGAGCTTCAGCTTTTTTCTGGATGACAGACTAGAAAGTTGTCTAAAGGAGACCAAAAGCCTTAAGTCAGCCTGTTGTTAGGGACAATAAATGAGTTTAGCAGAAAGTTCTTTGAGGGACTCCAGCAGCATGGGCTGCTTGCTATTTTAAGTGGTCATTTTGTAGCAGGAAAACTAAGGAAAGCATTTTTCTTTTTCATACTCTAAAAGTTCATGTTCTCATTCCTGAGTGAATGAAGCACTTTCTTCTATATGGGACTCTACTGTCTGATGTTGACTAGCCATGTGCTTCTGTAAAACATTCCTGCTGGTCTGAATAAAACCTCACTCCTGGTCCTTACATAATTTTGTTTTCCAAAGGAGTTTCTAAGTCAGGAAGAGAAGGTTTGTCCATGTGCCTTTGTTGGCAAGTTTTGATGTCCCTCAGTTCTCTCATAAAACTATTTCCAGGCTCCTGAGGTGTGATGTGTCTTTGAAAGGTCTTGTGCTTATCTATATGTGATCATACACAAATTAGAGTTGGTTGAAAATTTTGGTAAAGGGACAATTTTTCTGCTGAAAACACCAATCTGTTAAAATTAGAAATAGTCCTGGAATGTGTTGGTTTCAGCAGAAGTGGGGAAGGAGACCAGACAGGTTTTAATGGAAACCTGCCTAGCTTTGGACTCTGCTAACAGGGAGCATGCCTAGAAGAGAATTTGGCCATATCTGATTTTCTTTTTTCTACCCCAGAATTAAATATTTTCAGAACTTTGATGCCCTCAACCAAAGAAAAATTCCACCTATCCCATGGATATACTGAGGATATCTTTTTTCAGCTGTCTCTCTTCTGGGCTGCACACAGAAATGCCCAATAGCCCCATCGCACATAACATGAAGTTGTCCTCCTGGGTCCTATCAGAAATAACAAGTCAATATTTCTACAACACCAATTGTATTTTAATTTAAAATTTCAGTTACAAATAGACTCACTTTCATATACAGAATTCATCACAAACAGAACTGGATCAACAGCTAAAACCAATGCTGTTCAAACCACAGCATGAGCCACACAGCCTACAAAAAAATCTCCCACTTGAAACCAACTTTTTGGATCTAGTGACTCAAGCTGTTGTATGTTATTTATAAAACATTCACAGCTCCCGTTAGTAAGGAGCACTTCACATTTCCAAACATTTGACAGCCCAACTTAATTGCTATTCTTTAAAGAGCACTAAGATCTGAATTTTGCTTTTTCTAGGAGTTTATCTGTCAGTACTTCAGAACTGACAATTTTCATTCATGTATCCCTTAAAATCCCCTGCAGCACTGATCTTACTGAAACCTTTTATTCAATGCCCTGCCTTTCCTGGGATTTAAGCTCTTTCATTCCATTGAGTGCCTGTATCTTCAACTCACATCTGTGCTTCTGTGTTTCTCTTGTTTTTATCTCGGTATATCTTGCAATCTTCCATTCTGATTCTATAGCTAAGAATTTCTAGAAGAGACATAATCAGTTCTTTAAACAGTGAAAAAAACTGTCCATCATCATGACTTCAATGTTGAGGATTCTGATACTTTTATCACCAACCTTGACTGTAACACAAAAGTCAGTAGGTTTTGGCATGTGATTTAGGACATGCCTCCAAGGGAACAGAAAATTCCAACCACCATTCAAAATGCAAAGAAACATTATTTAATGTGAGTACTATGAGTTCCCTCATTAAATAATGTTTCTTGGGCTCAGTAACAGAAAAAGGAAAGAACAAATGCATATAATGACGCTGTGCGAATACATCCACTAAGTTAATGCCAACTTGATCATCAGAGAGATGCATGAAACACTTTTCTTCTTGAATTTACTACCATGTGGAGTCCACAAGTCAATGAGCAATTGTAACATTAACACTAGGGAATATCTTTTTATTTTGCTGGTTTCTGTAAGAACAGAGGAGTTTTTTCCAAAAAATCATAACCAGATTCCCTCAATAGCACTATAGCAATGTCAGGCTACAGTATTTGTTTTCAAATTGAAACAATATTAGCCTGTGGAGACAGATGTTAATGTATATTAATTGCTCAGATTATTACAAAATTGAGCTTCTAGAATAAGATGTATTGAATTTCTTACAGAAATAATGGAAAAAATTATCAAAAATTCAACAAATGAAAATAAAACTTACTCATGCTGTGGCTTTGTGCCCTGTGGTTAGGTGACTGTGCCTAACACAAAGTACTCCCAGGTCCAAGTTCTTCCTTAGAAGCTTTCCTAACATCTCTCTCCTGAAAAGACTCCTTGGTGCTAAACAATCTAAAGGACCTCCAAGTGAAATTTTTTCATCTTGGGGATATTAATTTCTCTCAACAAATGTCTTTTTTAACCAAATGAGAAGAAGCACAGTATCTCTGACATGTCACATCCCCTGTCCATGTTAGCTGGAAATCACCAACTGGTAAGGCCCTTTCACACAGACATGCTCAGAGAATGTGGTTGCAGAAACCTCATTTTCTTAGGAAGAGAGATTAAAATTTAATAACTACCCCCATTTATATATATTTTAGAACAGCCAAGTCCTGGAACTTTACAGAACCCTAATGACAATTTTCTTTAATATCAGTGTGCCTTCATTAGCAACTTCAGCCATTCCCACCATCTCATCCAGGTGAACGTCCAACCGTAAGCAGCAAGAGGAACATCCCACTTCAATGAACAAAGAGCTCTTGAGTTTCTTCCCTTCAATACTGCTCATTTTTTGGTACCTGAAATTTGTCATCAGAGACATCTACTTAGTACCTCTCAGTAGTACACAGATGAAAAGTAGCCACTGTAGTTCTAAACTGAAAACTTTGTCAGTGACATTTCTACATAAAATTCCAAATAATGTTATGCTGGCAAGAAACAACAACAACAACAACAACAACAACAACAGCAACAGCAACAGCAACAGCAACAACAACAACAAAATAATAATAATAATAATAATAATAATAATAATAATCTTTACTATTATCAAAGCACACCATGTCCAGAACTAAGCTGTGACATCAAGGTCAAAGCCGGAATCTCAAAAGCAGACATGTGCACATAATTACTCTGAACTTTAGTTGTTGCTTGTGGTGGTCATGTTACAATCGCATCATTGGAAAAAGCAAAATATCTGCTTGCATTCTAGAGATAATTGTGGAAAGGACAGAAATAGGAATTTGACAGTCCCTTTGAGATAAACAGTTATAAATAATGGGTTATACGCTCCATTTCCAGATAAAAATAGGAGCTGGAGAACACTGTGCTAACTTACTTCAGTTCACTGAAGAGCTGCTACACTCAAAGAATCAAAATATATGCAGGCAAGTGCCCCATTAAAAAGAACCACTAGATCCTTACATTTTTTGCCTTTTACAGCTCTCTACATCAGCAACAGTTGTACACCAAATAAAAATGGAATATCAGCCAGAATGGTGGCTCTGATTTTCTGCAATTTCATTAATGGAACACGATTAGCATTTCTTACACGGAGTTGAAGAAAATCAAAAAACCTGAGAAAGCAAAGTTTGGGGAGGAACAATAATAGGAAAAAACTGCAACTTTTAATTTGTCCAAATAATTTGAATTCACATGTTTATGTATTACTCACAGTGACACAGACATTGGTGCACAGAATCTTTTCTAAAGGAAAAAATCCTCTGCTGGCTAGCTCCCCCCCCTTTTATAAACGTATTTTTGATCTTTTGTACTTTCCTCCCAAAGTTTTAAGTCTGTGATGTTATTGATGTTGTTCATATTTTTGCAAGGATCATGCACTTTTAATTATTCAGCAGTAATTGTTCAGTTGATTTATTTTGAGCAAGCTGCCAGGAACAGGTACGTGTGCATGTGCATGCACATGTGCTTCTCTTTGAGGGAGCTGTGGGAGTCAGTCTGGAGAAGCAGAGGGGTAACAAAGTAAATCTAGGGCATATTTTCATATGAAACTGAAAAAAAAAAAAAAAAAAAAAAAGAAAAAAAAGAAAACTTTGCCTCATTCCATTCCAGTCTTGGCCAACTGTCTTAGCACTAATTGCAGCCCCATTAGACCATTTGCTGACATGCTGCAACTCCTTAAGGTCCCAAAAGTTTCTCATTTCCTGTTGATCTAGATTCCTGCCATTACAGGGAGCTGATGAAACATAGGAGGACTCCAGCAAGTGCCAGAAGCAACACGAATTGTGCAGCAGAAATGTGTGTCCAGAAGAGAAGAAGGGAAGGTGACAGAGGGGACCCAAAACCTTTTGGCACTGGTAAACCAGTATGCCAGTTCTTGGGAAACCATACTCTAGGGAAGACATTTTCCTTATCTGTACCACACAATTCCCAGAGACAAGCAGCGTCCCATAGGAATAATTCAGAACCACAACCATTACCCTCTCTGAATCACCATTTGGAGGAGTTGTTTCCCCAGAAATCTCAAGGCAGTTTATGTCTACCCAAACTCTGCATTTATGAAATGTTTTGCAGTCAAACCAGGTGGTCTGCAGTACTTGCCAGATGATTTGCAATGTTACTTTGCAATTATTGTGCATAATTTCACATGAAATTTAACAAGTGATTTTGATCCACTGAGAAAACAACAGTGGGACAGTGTTTCAAGGTGCTTAATGTGCAGTACTAACCCACCTGAAGACTTTCCACTGGGGTAGGTTTCTGCTGGTGTCAAAAATTGAACTGGTTATCCAAGTGTAACTCCAAGTTTAACTATCCAAGGACACCTACAGCTGGCAGGAGCAAGCTGAGTGCTGGAGGTGGACAAGGGGAGCAGAACTGGTGCTGGCTTGTTAGCAGTGAGCTAGCTGGTGGATCAGCTCACATCATCCCATAGGAGATTATGGGATACAAATACTGGTCTAACTTTTGAACAAGAGCAACTCATTTATCAAGTAGCCAAACCAACACAAAGTGACCTGCAACAGCTCAAGTTCTCGCTTAAGCTTTTGCAGTGTTACACAGCAAGAAAATGACAGGCCTAAGAACATAATTAAGAGTCCCTATCCTGGGCCTCCCTCTTGCCTTGGACTTGCCTCCATTCCCAGCCAGCCTGTGGTCTCTCCAGTGTCTGAGAGCAGCCATTCCAGCTCCGCTGATTCCAGGGGTGATGTGACATCCGTTTGCTAAGAGCTAGACTGGGACCAACAGCTCCTTTTGTATCTCCCCACAGCCATCACTGCTTCTTCTTCACTACTGACTTGGACAAGATTCAAATTAGTTGCCTATGGGTGAAAGGTTCCTTGTCCCATCATGTATTCCACGCTCCTGCTTTTCTCTAGTTCCCAGCTGTCATGTCCTACCCTCTTCCTCCAAGTGGCTCTCTGAGCTTCTTGACCATTTTCTGGTGTCTCCTTTGTGCTGTGTATCCAGCTTTCTGATCTCCACAACCTGTTTTTCTTCTTTCCTTTATGCCTCCTGCTTAAATCAGATTCTCTTTGTTCTTGAAATACACTGCTCTCTTTACATTGCTTTTCTCCATTTCAGCATCACTGGCACCCGTCTCAGCTTCCACCACAAACCAACCTGGACTTCAGTGTCTCGATCCCAAGTTCTCCTCTCTCCTTCTTTCACCATATTCACTGTTAGCCAGTTGTCATGCTCCCTCATTTCTCAGTCCAAGGGAACTCAGGTCCCCCCTAAGCTGCTTGCTTTTTTAGCTGAAAAATTCATCCAACCAGGCAACAGCAGCTGAAAAGACAAAGACTAGCAGTCCCTGCATGAGAAATGGAAAAGATAGGAAAAGAGGGTTGGACTGCAGTGAGCAGGGTGTAACTAAGGGGGAAAATACTATGGATCCAGGACACACTCAGGGGTTTCCTGCCTGCAACCCACGCTGCGACATCACCTCGGGCTGACACCAGGTGGCCTCTGTGGCTCACATAATAGTGACAAATGATAGCCAGCCAGGTGGACACAGCATTCCAGCCTACAGTGGAGCCATTCCAGTAATCACTATATGGATGCAGGCTTCAGAAATATATCAATCACATAAGTGAGACTCCACCTGCAATTAAATTATTTAAATGCGTATGTTTGCTGAGTAACATCACTGCCATAAGTAACTCATCAGCAATACAGGTTGTATCTTTCTTTCAAGAGGCAAAACATGAGAGTTATACCCTAATACCTGACATTTGGATGTGATTTAAGCAAGCGCATAGCTGAGTTTAGAAATTAACCCAAGCCAGGCACATGCTGCTTTTTCTGGACTGAGGACCACACAGCAAATAGCTGGGCTCTAACATAGATGATCTCCAACAGCCCAAGGCTCTTACATAGCCACAGGAATTGCTTGGTTAGGTTGTCAGTTCATGGAGAAGCTGCTTCTCGAGCCCTCAGCTCTTGCTAAGTGAGATTCTCTGTTCTGTTTGGCATTTTAGAAGTAAAATATTTCACAGTCCTAAACTGGAAAACTATCCAAGTGAGAAGGTTTCCAAGACCAGCATTGATTCTCAAGTAAACTCCCTCACCCCTTCACTCACTTTGTTTTGAAACCCTAATTTCAACCTCCACTAAAACTCCAATAACTCCACTAAAATAATACAAATTCTAGATTTAATTAGGCAAAAATAATTCTCTTTTCAAACACAGTTATAAAGTTCCGTAAGAACCTTGAACTTATTCCCTTAAAAGAAACTTTCTACAAGTGTTATTGGTTATTATCTTGGTAATTTTAGAAAGAGACAAGGTCACCTCCTGGAGTACCTGCTATTCCCTCACCTTGTATGGTTTTGGAAAGTCAGGTTCTTTCTAGCAGAACTGACTCCAGGAGGAGTCAGGACTGGAGAAGAGACTCCAGTCTCTCTTGGACAGAAAGCTCCCCCAAGTTTGTACATGAGTTGTGTGATCTTTGTGGCAGGGGAAGGACAGAAGGGACAGAGAACATCCAGCTCCTCCAGGCTACACAAATACCAGCCATTTCCTTGAAAGTTTGGATTTATTAGGAAAATAATCATAATCATCAGCATCAGATCAGCTGCACTTAAGTTACCTCCAAACCCACAGATAAAACATGGAAAGCTTTTTAGAAATAAATTACAGGTTGTTCTAATTATAAAATTAAGTGTATTTTAGATTAGTAGCATATTTTTTTAACAATGTTTCACTGTAATGATATATAATCTTTTAAGGCATGTTCTTTCCAAAACAGAAACTTGTTATTTAAATGAATACATCATGTAGTTACTGGGATAATTATTAGCAAAAATATTCTTGAGACAAAACGCTTGCCAAGAGCTGCAAGCTGTTCAAATGTTTCCTTTCTAGCAGCCTCAAAGGCAAATAACTTTTAAGAGCACTCAATTTATGTATTCTTTCATGTAAGTTAGGAATCCTTAAAAAAACTGTTGCTGTTGGTATTACCAATATTTCCTCAAATTTTATAATACTGAAGGAGTGTACAGATTTTTAATTTTATCTTAATGCTCATTTCAGAATAAAAAAGTGTGCATAAAGGTCCTTTGTTGGGGATAAAAGCAACACAGATGATGAAACAAATGCATTTTAGCAAGATTAGTCTGCAATAGGCTTAAATCATGACTATTCATATATTTAAATCTACACAAATCACATCTGTTTAGTCCTTAGGAATAAAGCATGCTATAAGCATAGTCCTTGAAAGAGGCCCTATCTTTTTGCTTGGAGAAATTTCATGAATCAAAAAATCCTTTCAATAATAAGTATATGATGTCAGGGGGGAAGGAAGCAAATATTAATGAGACTATCTATTTTATGCCAAATAGAAGCATTAGGGTTCATTCCTAGAATTACCATGTATTTCTCTGGGCAGTTCCTTACTTCAGCCACTGATAATGGGTTTATTCCTAAAATGCAGTCAGGTCATAGTTTATCTCAAACAAATAGAGTAATTTCAACACTCCTAATTTCTTTAGGAAATATGTTAATTTTATAATAAAAGTAAGGACTTTTGGCTCAGCTGGCCAGTAAAACTTGCTCTGGTCTCAGTGAGAGCAAAACTGGACCTTTTCTACAGCTAAGATGACAAATTATTTTTCTGTTATGCAGCATTCAGAACAGTAATTGAGGTCTTGCTAAGCTTGACAGATACCATAAGCAGCTCAAAGGAAACAGTAACAGCTGTATTAATACATTAACCATTGGCTCTTTACACGAGCAAATTGCGTCTGATCACAGCTGGACATCTGGTAAAAATTGCAGTGTCTGAAGCTGGAACACTGTAAAGCAGATCAATCAGCAATCAGAAATGCCAGGAGCATAGAGGACTTGCCCTCAGAAATACCAAATATACATGTACATCCTTGAAAACAAAGATCATTTGGAAAACGAAAAGCCTTCTTTGGGAACTATAGTGGATATAGTGGCGGATTCTTTGAGGAACTGGCTTTCCATTGCCTTCAGGAGATAACTTATGGAAGAGGTTTTGAGCCCAGGAGCTCAGGTACTGATTCCAGGCTGATTCAATGGTCAGTTTCAGATTTTTCTTACACCAAAGATCATGCGAAAATGTAGGTACTTACACAGCAAAATGATAGATAAAACACTTCGACCCACTGGGCCTCTCTAGGAAGTTGCAGACCTGTCCCTGTGTGCTGGTTTTGGTCAGATACTGGCTCTGGAAGCACTTCGTGGTTCGGGCCCTGCCAGCTCCACTGTCTGAGCAGGCTGCAGGCTTTGTGCCTTCCCCAGAGCTCTGGGGAATCCTGGATCCTTTATCCACAGGGGGGTCTGGATTCAGTGCCAAAGGAGAATACTGCATGGTGCTGAGGTTCTCCCTGACTTCCAACAATGCTGCAGATTTGCTGTTTTCACTCAGAGTGCTCAGCTGGAGAGTGGAGCCTTGATCCTCCCCATGGTGGTCACACACTGGGTACGCAGCAGTTTCTCCACCACCATAGGACATCCCACAACAACACACAGGTATTGCTGCCTCAGATCAATATTAAAATAATGAAGGAGGGATTCGATGTCTTCCCTGCACAGGGTTCTCCAGCAGCTGATAAGATGACTTCGTGCTACTATCATGGAGCTTCTCTGTGACACAAGTGTGAGCTGCCAGCCTTGTCACCTGTTGTCACTCACAGCCTCTGAAATTATATCAGAAAAAACTATGAGACAGTGACACCAGAAGGAACAGGAGTCTGGGAAAAGAAAGAGGTTGAGACTTCTGGAGGAAGGAAAGAAAATTAAGTTTCAAAATTACATTGTTAAGAAGGAAGCCTAGAACTATTTAAATGGTGCAACACTTGTGCAGCAGCAGAGACTTGAGAGCTAATCCTACCAGATTACTTTAAACTGAGCAGTTCTTGAAGTGCCCTTGTTGAGGCTTTTGCAGGTGTGCTTAGCTTACAGCCTCTTTACAGAGCATGCTGACCCCAACAGTAGACTGCCAAAGAAAACAAGGTGATAAGTATTCCTGCTCGTTGAGCAAGAAGAAGGATCACACAAAGGTCTACAAGCATCTAGTAATTTGCTTTAAGATAAGGATAGTAACATGTTTAGAGAAGAACGAAAACAGTGTTATGAACTAGAGCTATAAGTTTGTATTTTATTTTTAGATGCTTGGCAAAAACTATATAAGTAATGCAAGAGCAAGAAATAAAAGTCTCAGTTCCACATCACATTGGTGTGCTGTCTGATTCCTGCCTTGAGATTGGACTTAACATGCCCTGATTAGAGATGAAGTGTTTCCCAAAACACACCTGAATGAGGCTTTGAACTTCAACACCTACACTTCAGGAGAACTTATCTAGAACATTACAGGAAGATTTTAAGACTTAAATAAATTACTTCAGTTACCTCACGGGACCCAATCTTGCAGTCCACAGTACTGTGGAACAATTTTTCTCAGGTATAAAAAGGAGGATGCTATTAATGATAACTGATACTGGGAGGTTAATATTGCTACAAGGGAAAAGATCAAAAATTCCTGGCCTGAACCTCAATTTTCTACAAGCCCTTCTATGTTTGCAGCTAATTTTGCTACTCTCAAACAAGTACCTAGACGAAACAGAAAAGACAATAGGATTGTTCTAGATCAATACATATTTCATGGAGCAGAATTAAATTGTTACTAATATAGAGCAGCAATTTCTTAGCAGCAATATTAAGAGTTTTGTAAGACTAAGAGTGGATGTCTTTTTTTCTACTGCCTTATTTCTTACATACCACATTCAGTAACTTTAGCCTCAGCAGAATATTTTAGAGAGACCATTTCAGCCTTCATCCCCTGCTTTCTAAAATTAAGCTTATTTTTACTGTTGCTTAAAGCTCCTCGTGTAGTGAATGAACTTCTGTTGCAGTACATTGAACAGAGTCCTCCAAGTTATTTCACAAAATATTTATATATATACATTTTAACATGACTTTTCACACTGAACTCATTTCTTAACACTCAT